GCAGGGGGGTGGTTTTCTGCCCCCACCCCGTCAAGCACGCCTTCCCCCAGTGCTCTGAGTGCTGGGGGTGGGCTGGGGTCCACCTGACAGAGCGATGCCAGCCTGCCCTTAGCTGCTGGGTGGCTGTGGCATAGGAGAGAGTGTGTTGGACAAGGCTCTCCCTTGACACTCAGCCTCAGTTTCTTCATCTGTAAAACGGGCACAGTGGTGATGCCTGCCTTTTCCAGCCCAAAGCCTTGTAGCAGGTTCCACGAGAAATGTGCACGGGACACAGTGCATCACGACGTTGCTTTGTGTGACCATGAGTCCTCCTGAAGGTCCAGGCCACCCAATAGCTGCCCGACCGCCCTGCCCACCCCTGTTCTTGCCCTGCTGCTTTTTGTCCAGGAGAAGCGTGTTCCTGGTTTTTGCCCTCCTGGATGCTGGGTCCCTTCCCCTGCCCCCCCGGGTGTCCTGCTCTAGGGGGCTGGCTCCATTCCCCCCCGGCCCAGCACTGACAGCAGAGAGGAAGGGTGTGGAGGGGCATCTCCTGAGAGCCCGGCAACGTGCAATGATTAACCAGGGGCTGGGCACAGTCTGGCCCATGGAGGGACAAAGAGCAGCTGTGCTCTGGCCTCAATTCCATGCCTGGGACTTCGTTCCCTTGCCCTGGCCCAGTCTGTGGTTGGGCTTGGGTTCTAGTGGTGTCACCAGCTGAATGGGTGTCCCCTTGTCTGACTTAGCCCCACATTGGCGCACACGCATCTATCCATCCCTACTGGGATGCCAGGGGAATGGATCGGCGGAGCTTCAACCTGAGGGCAGAGAGGAAGGGAAAAAGTAGAATTCTCCAAAATTGTTTCTGGAAGGAGGTCAAACCAGGTGGAGCCCTCTTCGAAGCCAGTCATCTTGGTGGAGGGGTGGGCACAGCATTGATGTTCTTATGCCCTCCCTTCTAGAAACGAACCTGCAACACCTGTCTTCTTACCTAAATTGTCTGTTGTGTGCAAGGGTCCTGCAGACACAATCTCCTGGCTTTGTCGTCGTGGACTCCTTAGTTGAGGACCCCATTGCTGTCTGTGTCGCTTCCCCCACCCCCCAGACCTCTCCCTCTCTCTCTGCTCTCGCTGCTCTCCTGCCTGGAGCTGGAGATGAGGTTGCCATGGGAACCTGAAGCGTAGTGAGCAGGGGGAGGGAAAGCAGGGCTGTCTCGCCAGGGCTGGGGGCTGTGGGGAGGGGACAGGGTTGACCCAGCAGGAGGAATATAGCCCATGCTGCATGTCTGCCTGCCTTCCTCTGCTAGGGTTGGGCTCTGGGGGCAGGGGAAGGAGATGGAAGGTTCTGGAGCTCCTCTTTAATCTAGTTAATCTGATGCAGGATTAAAATCCTCCCCCATCCCCTGCCAAATTAAGCTGAGTCGACGTCTAGGCTGGTTCACCCCCCTCTTCCGTTCTGATGGGATTAGTGATCTGGCTGTGGGGGCTGAAGTCCGTGGGTAACGGTGGTTCCACAGAGAGGATGAAGCATCTGCTGACCCCAACTGAGGCACTTGCTGCATGTTGGTGGGGCTCTCAGACCTTCTGGTGGTGCAGGGTGGTAGTGGTGCAGGGTGGCGGTGGGTCCAGGGTGACGGAGCAGAGGGAGGGACACAGTGAGGGGTATAGGAGGTGCGTGAATGTAGCATGAACGCAGCTGTGTAGATGGGCCTGCTGGCCTCGGTGTCTAGCAGGTGCCTGTCACCGCAGAGGGCACACCTGTGTATTCATTGTGTGCGAGGCACGACACAGTGTGCCGGGCCTCAGGACTGTGGGGTGGTCAGGTGCACCTGTCCAGCTGTCCTTGAGCCACTGAAGCCGGCTCTCCATTTTAACCCTGTACATTCTGGCAAATGGGAAACCCCAGTGTTTGCAGATTGGCTCTGGAGGACGTGTGTTTGCAGAGCTGCCAGCCACCCGCCCCCGGCCCCCAGCCTGCCTCCACTTCCCCACCAAATGCTAACCGTCTTCTCAGAATGATCCTTCACGTTCTGGGCCAGAGCTGCCGGGGTCTCCTCCACGCCTGCCTGCTCCTGTCTGTGCATACAGATGCCTTCCTGGCCTCAGCGCCCGCTCCACAGCGCCTTCAGCGTGGCTCTGACTGGGGGGCAGGTCATCTCTGAAACCCTCTCTCTTAGGGCTTGAGTGCCAGCCAGTTCTGCTGAGATCTTCCTTCAGTCCTGCTGCTCCTCCTAGTCTCCAGGAGCAGACTCCCAGTTGATCCTCCCTTGCCCTGGAACTGCTCGGGAATTCTGAGGGGAGCTCCTCAGCTGTGGGTGGCCTGACTGTGGGGGGACTGGACCCCGGCCTTAGCCCCGTGTTCACCACAGGCCAGTTTGTTGCCAGCTGCAGGCATCTGCGTTTGCTTTTCCTCGTCTGAGTCCGTCCCCCTGCTGGGGAGCCGAGCCTGAGCTGACCAGGACCTGGCACCCTGGCATGTCGTGGGGCTGGGGAAGGGGCGCCGCTAGGACCACTGGTCCCGGGACAGTGACACTAGCCCAAAGGGGAAAGGATTTGCCAAGGTCACCCAGCAAGTCCGTGGTAGGGCCAGAGCCCAGCACCGTGCCCTTTCTGGGCACCCCCCTTGGGTGAGTTCTCCAAACCCTGTGTCCTGCCCTTGACAAGTGGTGGCCCAGAGGGAAGGTGTGTGTTTACAGGCGGCGGTGGCTCAGGGTGGTGTGGGCAGCTGGAGAGCATGTTCAGGTGGGTGGGCAGCTTGTGTCCTGCTCTCGGGCTTGTGAACCAACTAGGTGGGACATGCCTGGAAAGAGGTCCCAGGAGGTGACCCATCTCCAACCTAGGGGCAGCCTATGAGCAGGGATCTGCAGTGGTCCCAGCTGTGGTAGGGTGTGATTGGTCACCCAGAGCTCAAAATGGCCAGACCTAAGGCTTCTGCTTGGAGGAGCCACCCACCAGTCCCCAAAATAACTGGGGCCCATGCAGACCCCCAGCTCTTTCCCACACCAGCACAAATACCAGCTACCATGACTCAGGGCTGCCTCTCTTATAGCTGGTTTGCTGGGGGAGGATCGTGATGACCCTGGGGATAGAAGGGGCCCGAGTTCGAGCCCCAGCCCAGCTTTAATGCCTCGTGTGACACTCTTGTATTCAACAAATATTTATTCAGCACCAGCTACTATTCTAGGAGCTTGAGATAAATCAATGAACAGGAGAGCAAAATCCCTCCTCATGCAGAAGTAGAGGGGAGAGAACAAGCACCAGTGTGATAAAGAGGTTAATCACGAAGACTGCTGAGTGAGAAGTGTCTGGCATCACGCGCCCCTTCCTCCTCTGACATGAGGGGCTTGGACTGGCCTGTGCTGGAGGTCCCCGCAGGCGTGGCTCTGTGGGCTGCCCTGGCTTCTGCTACCTCCAAGACAGCCCTCCCGATGGGGGCCAGGACTCGGGTCCGTCCTGTGCCTGGAGATTGGACGGTTTAGTTTGGCGAGCGGGGCGCAGAAGAGATTGTCGGAGTGCAGATGTGGATCCTACCACTCACTAGCTGTGACGTTGGCCACATTGTTCAACCTCTCTGGCCTCAGTTCTCTCATCTGTCAAAGGAGCACCCTGATAGTTAGTACTAGCCACTTAGGGCTGCTGTGAGAGCTTGGTGACCTAAGGCACATAAGCCCTCAGCACTGGCAAACAGTAACTGTGGTTATCATGGGTTGAACATCCCCAATCCAAAAATCTGAAATCTGAAGTGCTTCAAGATCCAAAATTTTTTGAGTGCCGGCATGATGCACAAGTGGAAAATTCTGCACCTGACCTTATGTGACGGGTTGCAGTCAAAAAGCTGTCAGAGCTTCATTTAATGCACAAAATTATTAAAAAATATTAGGCCGGGCACGGTGGCTCACGCCTGTAATCCTAGCACTCTGGGAGGCCGAAGTGGGTGGATGGCTCGAGGTCAGGAGTTCAAAACCAGCCTGAGCAAGAGCGAGACCCCCATCTCTACTATAAATAGAAATAAATTAATTGACCAACTAATATATATAGAAAAAATTAGCCAGGCATGGTGGCACATGCCTGTAGTCCCAGCTACTCGGGAGGCTGAGGCAGGAGGATTGCTTGAGCCCAGAAGATTGAGGTTGCTGTGAGCTAGGCTGACGCCACGGCACTCACTCTAGCCTGGGCAACACAGTGAGACTCTGTCTCAAAAAAAAAAAAATTTTTTTTTGTATAAAATTATCTTCAGGCTAGTGTATATGATGAAATTTATGTTTATTTTATGAAACATAAATGAATTTTGTGTTTAGACTTGGGTCCAATCCCCAAGATGTCTCATTATGTATATGCAGATCTTCTAAAATCCAAAAAAAAAAATCAGAAATCCAAAACAGGATACTCAACCTGTATTGTTACCCATCACGCACAGGTGACCTCCTTTCTGGCCTCAAGCTGGTCTTCCTGCCTACCCACCAATTAAGTTGGACCTTGTTAGCCCTTTGAAACGCCACTTTGAATGGCCACGTACATCTCTCGCCACTTCTTCCAGGAAGTCCTCCTGGATAGGCGTGTCCCTTTCCCCTCCTGTCTCCCTCTTGCCCTTCCTCTGCATAGTTGGTCATTATTGGTCTTAGCTGAAAGCTGACTCCTAACCCCTGCCCATCTTCTCCTAGTCTGGCTGAGTGCCCTCGACCAGCCTGTGTGGTAGACGCCAAGGCTTGGATGGTCCCCAGATAAGGGTGATCTGAAACCCTCAGAGTGTCCCAGCGGCCTTCCCTTGGTTCAGGACAGTTCTTCCTGGCTGGCTGGCCACTCAGGCCCGCTGCATCTTCCCGGGTCAGCCAGCCCAGGCCAAGTCTGAGAATGCTTCCCTCCGCCGGGCCATGGCAGGGGGCACTGTGGCCCTGCTGCCGGGGCTGGGGCAGTGCTGCCCAGGCGTGAGGGGAAGTTCCCAGGAGAGAGCCAGGGCTCTGCGGGGAGCATAGAGCCTCCTGCCCTGTCCCCAGAGTGACCCCACTCTTGTTTTCTGTTGTGCAGACACTACCCCAAGCAGTCCTTCACCATGGTGGCCGACACCCCGGAAAACCTCCGCCTCAAGCAACAGAGCGAGCTCCAGAGTCAGGTGAGGGGCGGGGCCGGCGCTGCGGCCTGGTGGGGAGGGCTGTTGTAACCCCTGGTTTGGCAAGGGCGCCTTCCGCCCGTGGTTACTGTGCAAGGCCCGCGGTGCTGAAATCCTGGCACTTGCCTTGACTGTCTGCCGCCACCCCCGGTTACTTCCTATTTCCTGACTTTATCAAAGGAGTAGGGGAGAGCACGCCTCCCTTTCTACCTAAAGTAGCTTCGAGAGGCGTGGGTGTCTCTCACTCTCCCCTCTCTCCTCTCCATTCGTGCCCACCTGCAAAGGAGGGGTTTGGGGGAGACCAGGGAACTCGCCTGTCCGAGGTTATACTACCACCCTCTGCAGCCTTGCCCCAAACCTTCACCACCTCTTAGAAGACAAGGTGCAAGGAGGCCTTGCCAACCGGGCCTGTCCTGCCTTTGTCTCCTCAGGCCTGATTTTGCTGAGCACTGCAGTGGAGCAGAAGACGGGTTCTCCGCCCAGGGAGAGCTAGGTCTTTTTTTTTTTCTTTTAAAGCCAAGATCCCACTCTGTTGCCTGGGCTAGCGTGCAGTGGCATCATCATAGCTCACTGCAACCTCAAACTCCTGGACTCAAGCAATCCTCCTGCTTCAGTCTCCCAAATAGCTGGGACTGCAGTTGTGCGCCACCATGCCCGGATAATTTTTTTTTTTTTTTGGATAATTTTTTTATTTTTTGTAGAGATGGGATCTCACTATGTTGCTCAGGCTGGCCTTGAACTCCTGGCCTCAAGCAATCCTCCCACCTCGGCCTCCCAAACTGCTTGGATTACAGGCATGAGCCACCACGCACAGCCAAGAACTGGGTCTGCTGGGTCTGGAAGGGACACTGAGGAATAAGCAAAGTGTCTGGAACCCTGAGGCCAGGACAATAACCCTGGCTGCCTGGGGGTTGGGAGGGCTTCTAGGCCAAACCTGGCCTGTGGTGGGATGGGGTGGGGCGGGGCTTCAGCGAGGATTAAAGGATTAACTGAGAGAACACATGTAGGGGAATTTACCAAGTAAGCAGGGTGTCCAGGGCCAGGAAGATGCTGCAGAGGTTCCACGTGGGCCACAGTGGGGAGATCTTTCCCGATCCCTCTGGAGTGGGGCTCCCACTGCCTGATCTTGGCACGACACCTGGGTCCCATCAGGGAGAACCAGCCCTGCCCTGTGTGGGGCTCTCCATGTATCTCTCACATAACTCTCCCTGTGAGGATGCCTCTGTTCTTTCCCTTGCACAGATGAGGCAGCCGAGGAGGCTCGGAGACCATAAGGGACTTGCTCAGATCATGCAGGGAGGCTGGGCGCGGTGACTCATGCCTGTAATCCTAGCATTCTGGGAGGCAGGAGGCAGGAGGATCGCTCGAGATCAGGAGTTCGAGATCAGCCTGAGCAAGAGCGAGATTCTGTCTCTACTAAAAATAGAAAGAAATTAGCTGGACAACTAAGAATATATATAGAAAAAATTAGCCGGGCATGGTGGCGCATGCCTGTAGTCCCAGCTACCTCTAAACACGATAGTCCCTTACGCTGTGAGACCTTTTGCAGCTAAGCAAGTGCTTTCAGTTACTTGGCCTCGGTCATCCTTGACTTGAGTCTGGGGCAGGGAGAAGAAGACCTGCTACCTCTGTGTCCCAGGTGACCGGGCTGAGGGTGAGAGGGGCCCAGGGCTCTGCCTGTTGACACAGGGCGAGTGAGGGAGGTTCCAGGATTTGGGCTCTGTTCTTTCCATTCCCATGTGTGGTGTCCTTGACCACATGCAGCCCTGGTGTGACCTGAGGCTCCGGCTTCCCGTGCGATCCGCAGAGGAGGGGGACGCCAGCTCAGACCTGCCACCCCACCTTCCCGTGGCACGGAAGCTGCAGGTCCTGGGGGAGCCGGCGGGCACGGCAGCCCTCCGCCCGACGAGGGGTTCAGCCTATAGGGTCGGGGCTCGGAGACAGACTCCCCATCCTGTGGAAGGGCCCTGGGGACCAGAGGTGGAAGGGTTGAAAGGGACCGGGAGGAGGAGGTGCTGGGAGCAGAAGGCAGGTCTTGGGAGACACACACACACACACCCTGCTCCCAGGAGGAGAAATTCAAACCCCAGCCTTTCTCAGTCCCACAAAAGCCTGCCTGCAGCTCTTTTTGCCCTTGGAATGTGATCTCTGGAGGGCGGGGTCTGTAGGAGGAAGCAGCCCCTGCTGTGTCCTCCCAGGGTGAGGTGGCAGCTGCCAGGCCATGCTGTGGCAGGGGCCCCTCTGCTCCTCTAGGGGAAGCCGGCAGCACAGGCAGGATTTGGAGGCTCCTGTGCCCACCAGAGCCCTCTGCTCCTCAGGGCCCCAGCCTGCTGCTCTCCTGCATTCCTGGCGGGGCTCTGGGGAGTTTATGGGAATGGCAGTCACTCCGTGAGGTTCTCACCGAGGGCCGTGCGCCTCTGTGCGTGTGTGTCTGCGTATGTGTATCTGTCCACCTGACTTTATTTAATCCTCATAACCACCTGATCAAGGAGGGGCTTTCATTATCCCCGTCGTGCAGTCGGGGACACTGAGGTTTAGTGAGGCTGCACTACTTGCCCAGAGCCCAGTGACGGGCAGATTTCAAGTCCGGTGGATCTGGCCCCAGAGCTCATTGCTCTTGACAGTGCTGCCACGCTAGCTGCTGTGGCACCAGCTCCGTGTTCCTACCCTGCAGCAGGTCGCCAGCAGGTATTAGGGGCTTGTTGGAATGCAGATTCCTAGGCCCCACCCAAGGGGCTTTGGGTTGGCAGCTCTGAGGCCTGGGAATCTGCATTCTGACACCCCTCCCCGCCCCCCAGTGATTCTGGTAAGGACTTCCGGTCCCGCTCCAAGGGGCTCAGAGCTGGAGCAGGAGCGGGGCAGGAGCTCACACCGTGTGCTGTGAGGGCTGGAGGTGCGGCAGCAGGGCCCCCCACTGAGGGCACAGCTCCATCCTGAGGTTGGGGTCCTCAGGGCTGGGGGCTGAGGGCAGGGCGGGCAGAGGGTGGAGAGGAAAGGGTGCTGTCCTCTCTGCAGGCCTTGTTCCATCTCCTTTCCGCCGCCCACAGCTGTGTGGTCTGAGGTTGGCCTCTCTCGCAGCCGTTTTTACCTCTCATAGCTTTTTTCCCTCACCAGTGAAATGGGGACAGCAGACCCAGTTGCCTCGAGTCTGGGGGCTGGGCCTGAGGCTTGGAAGGGCTGAGCCAGCCAGGCAGGGGCCTGACAGGTTCTGGTTCCTGTGGCCGCGGTGGGGGGGTGGGGGCAGGGCTGGCAGGCTGGCTGGAAGGGAAGTGGGAGCCTCCTCTGCCTACCTAGCACCACCCCACATGGTGTCAGCTGGTCTCTTTCCAGGGTCCCTTCCTGGGCCTGGCCTGGTGTGTCTCAGCCCGTCTCTTGTCTCCAGGAGGCTGCCCGTTCTATTTCAGCTTTGTTTTCCCTTCTCTATATTAGTCCCCAAAGTGGCACTTTGTGTGTCTGGGACACCTGGAGCCTCCCCTGCGGGGGAGGTAACCACAGAGCTGTCCAGAAGTGGCCCTCTGGGTGGTCCTGCCCGGGCCTGGCTGAGCCAGGGAGCGGGCCAGGCCCCAGCACCCCCACCTGCTGCTCCCCACCCCAGGCCGAGCAGAGGCAGCAGCTTCGGGGCGGGGGTGACTGAGCTGGAGGCATCTGTGTGGCTCTGGGCCCAGGCAGAAGTGCCAGGAGACTGTCTCTTTCCTCCATCGTCTCACCTTCATGGCATTGTGGAAAAAGCCACAGAGGGGAAGGGAGAGGGCAGTGAGGGCCTCACTGCCCTGGGACAGGGTCTCTGTTCTTGTCTTGGATCTTGTGGCCGGCACAGCAAGCAGCAAACCCTCTTTCCTGGACTAGCTGGCCGAAGATCAAATCCCAGATCTGCTACCACTAGCTGTGTGGCCTTGGGCAAGTTATTAACCTCTCTGTGCCACCGTACCTTCTTCTGACAAATGGGAACTGCTGCTCTCCAGAGGTGGTGGTGAGGAAGTGAGCGTGTGTTACTTAGTGGTTTCTGGCGTGGAGTCAGCACTCCGTGAATGTTTGCTCTCCTTATTTTCCTGGAAAGGAAGGAACGGAACTTGGGCGTGAAGCAGCCCACCAATGGGCAGAGCCACTTCTGACCATTGCTTCCGCCCTGGCCTTTGTCATTAGCGCTCCTCCTGTCTGTGCACGTCCAGTTTAAAAACTGACGCCTTTTTTGTTAGAAGGGGATGGGTTACCTAGTACATGGGCCCAGCACACGCAGGCACAGGATCTGTGAAAATTGTTGCTATTGTATTTTGCTCAATAAATTTTTTTTCTTTAAGTCATGATCTTTCTTCTTACGTTGGGTCAAGGCAGTTCTTTTCCCAATTATGCTGCCTTGTTTGTTGGGAGATTATGTACGTGCGTTCAGTTCATTCAGCGTTCGCCCGACTAACGTTGATTCGTGCCTGCTGCTTGCTGGGGTAAATGAACAAGACAGGGCCAGGGAGAATAACTGAAAGCCTACGTGTAAGAAGCAGAGTTTCATAGATGGCGGCTGTTTGGGCGTCAGGAGCCCCTGGCGTCAGTCCTGGCCTCGAGGTGGGAGTTTCCGAGGTGGGAGGCCCGGGCATCTCCCAGGGACGGAGTTATCTGGCCCAACTGCTGAATCGCACCCTTCCCTGACCCACACCTGGGTCGAGTGCTCAGCAGGCCCCTCCCTGCACAGGACCCCATCATGCCCTGGGGAGCCATTCCAGGCACCGAGGGCAAGGCAAGCACTCCTGCTTGGGGGAGGAGGGGCTCCAGGCTAGACCCTCGGGACACTCCTGACCCCTCACCCCTCCACCTCTGCCACCCTTCCCAGCACCCAAGGATCTCTTTCATTCTCCATAGTCAGGGACTGGAGATGCCTAAAAATGGTCACAGACTCTAGAGTGGGAGTCCAGCCCCCAGAGAGGGGAACCAACTTGCTTAGAGACACACAGCAAAGTGGTGCCAAGCCCCGCCCCCCTGTCCCCCCAAAGCCCCACCTTCTCTGGCCTCCTATGTTAGGAGTGAAATGAATTCTCCTGCCCCTACAGGGAGGGGAAGGCAGTTCCTGAGCCTGGGAACCAGCTGATGTCATTGCAGTGTCGCCATGGCGATTATTCCTCCGGATTAAGGGCCTGACCCTTGCAAAGTCAGGAAGCAGAGGACGGAGTGGGGGACTGGCATTTGACCAGCACTTTCACATTGACACAGCTCTTCCGTCAGTGCGTACTGAGACCTACTGAGTGCTCCGCAGTGCACTTGTGCCTTTAGAGCCACTGTGTGTCATTGAGTGGCGTGGCTGGTGTTATGATCCTCATTTTACAGATGTGGAAACTGAGGTTCAAGGTTAAGTCATTGGCCCAAGATCACTTAGGAAGTGGGAGACGGAGGGTGTATTAGCACCAGCTCTGTCTTGGAAGGTCCCTCCCCATATTTTAACTGATCCCTATGATAACCCTTTTTATAGATGAGGAAACTGAGGCCAGGGGCCTTTGATTCAGGGATTCTGGATTGGGAGCTGCATTTTTCTGTCTGAGTGCCTTACCTTCCCAAAGAGCCCCCACCAAGAGTCCCTGTGCTGGCCCGGGGCTTCTTGGAGGAGCTGATGCTTGGAAAAGCCGGTTCTGGACCCAAGGTGCTCGGATCCACCATGTTAACTTGTTTTTAGTCTGGATAATAACAAAGGAGGAAGAAGAACTGAACCCCACGTTTGGGCTCTAGGTGACGAACAGGGACCCCGGCCCCTGGAGGACGTGCAGGGGGCCTGACAGGCGTGGCCACGGCTGCGTCTGTGTGTGGTTGGTGGGTGCGGGTGTAGCCCGGTGCTGCGGCCAGATGACTCCGTGCCTGGAAGCTGCCTGGGTTTGTCATCCTGGAAACTCCCAGGGTCCTGGGCCCCGTGTCCTGGGCTGACCTGTTTCCGGGACAGTGCAGCCCCTGTGGAGGAAATCCAAGCAGCTGGTGGGGTCTGGAACAGATGGCTGCTGAGGTGGACAGTGAGGTCTCTGGAAGCCAAGGAACAGTTCCCTGTCCCCTGGGTATTTCCCAGCCTCATTCTGTTCTTTGAAACCCCTATGGGAGCACAAGCTGTTCCTCGTATTTCAGTCCCTTCAGTCAGTGTCAGGGAAGTCCTTTCTGATGTCTGACTTGAGTCCCTCTAGTACTGTGGTGGGGCGGTAGGCTTCTTCCCGGATCTTGGAACCCTGCTCTGAAGAGCCGTCTGACCCCACCAGTTTCCTGCCCTGCAGTGTCGGTGGCCTCAGAAGCCAGCCTCGCCGGCTCCACTAAGCCACAGGGCTTGTCAAAGACTCATTGATCCGGCCTTCCCTTCGTCGGCCTCGCCGCCCTCCTTTCTGGGCACCAGCTTTGTCGTTTGGCACAGCCCCGCTCAGCTGCTCTCAGCGGGTAGGGCCGGGTCCTGGCTAGCGTGAGCCGGGCTGTCTCAGGAGCTCTGGCAAGAACCTTCTTCCCACAAGCTCTCAGGCAGGATGGGCTGGTGGGAAGTGTCAGGAGTGAGGCAGATGAGGGTTTGTATCCTGGTGGCTCCTCGCGTTGGCTGCTGAAGCTCTGTAACCTCGGGCAGGGGACCCGCCTCTCTGTGGGTCAGTTTCCTGATCTGTAAAATGGACCTAACAATAGTGTGTGTGAGTGTGCGTGTGTGTGCGTGCGCGCATGCGTGTGTTTATGATAGCACCTAAGGGAGATAGTTCACGTTCGTGTGAGGCCCGTGCACTGTGCCCACCACTCAGAACAACACGCTGAAGAAGTGTTAGTGGCCGCTATTGTTAGCCTAACACTTTGTGGCTGCCCCTTCTGCTTTGAGTTGGGGGTTTCTGGTCAGGCTGTCTGTCCTCGCCAGATGCTGCCTCAGACATCCCAGCCTGACTCCTGTCCCTCTTCCTCCCCTCTCGGCTCCTCCAGGTACGCTACAAGGAGGAGTTTGAGAAGAACAAGGGCAAAGGCTTCAGCGTGGTGGCAGACACACCTGAACTCCAGAGAATCAAGAAGACCCAGGACCAGATCAGTAACGTAAGCTCCTGGCGCCCGCCCTCCGTCTGGACCCTTCCCTGCCCGCCTGGCAGGCGTGATGAGGCCAGTGCCCTCCACTGCCCCTGCGCCCCTGTGTGGGCCTGGCCGGCGGCTGCTTGAGAAGAGAGAAGCATTTGAGGTTCTGAGCACCCCCAGACTCTCTTTGCCAGACTTTAGCCCACACAGTATTTCCTCCTTGAAGGGACCGTGGTCTCGCGGGGGTGTGCACAGGGGCCTGTGTGCTAGGTCACCCCCACTCTCTCTGTAGCTGTTTTGCTTTTTCTTGGGTATGGTGGGTGTCTGGGTGCAGGCTGGATGTTCCGTCTTAGCACAAAGGTCAGGGCTGGAGGGGGAGGGGGTGAGGGCGGGGTGACCTGGGTGCTGACATTACAGTCATTTCCACCCTTCCTCAGTCATTTCCGCCCTTCCTTGGCTTCCTCCCCCACCTCGCCTTGCTCTTCCTTCCTGTGTAGAAACCCCGGCTGCGGCGTCCTGCAGCCCTGCACCTCCTCTTCTGGGCCTCCTGGGCCTGGGATGGCCAGCAGCTTCTGGCCGTGGCATGGGTGGGCGTGGGGGGCGGGCGGTGGGTTGACGGCCTCCAGCGCTGTGCTCCCTCCACGGCACCTGTGGCCAGAGGACAGGCCTCGGTCCCTGCTTGGCAGAGCCACCGACCAGCAGCCTGTGTGGCTGGGCGCATGGAGGCAGGGCGCTGCTGGGAGCCACAACCACGGGACCCGGGCAGGCGACCCGTGCACAGGGTCCTGGGGCGCACAGAGTTGCAGGGTGTGCCCGGCGGCCTGGGCTGGGAGGTCCTACACGTGAAGGGTTGGGCGAGAACAGTCGTCTTCAAGTCTGACAAGAAGGGATAGATGAGTCGCCCAGTATCACTGTGTGCTGAGGGACTGCGGATAGTCGGGCTGGGCTGGGACTCTGGTGGCCCACCCCGAACCCCCACCCTGGCTCCGCATCCCTCCCCAGCCCTCCACCTGGCCTCCTTGGCAGGACGAACCTTCTAGAGGTTGGCGGGTCATGGCCAGAGCGGGCTGCAGGTGGATTTCAGAGGCACAGGGCAGCCAGCAGACGCAGACGCAGCCGCGCCCAAGACTGTGGCTCTCAAACTTCACATGACGACCCACCAAGCGGGCAGGCATTTATTTCAAGAGAAAACAGAATCAGAACTTTTATCACTGAGTCCTTACTCCCAAGAGGACATTCAAATCCTTTCTATTTTATTTTCTAAAGATGCTGGTGGCAGACTTACTAAATGGGTTTTGCTACTAGGTTGTTGACCTGCAGTTTGCACTTGGTGGCCTGAGGAAATGGCGTGCTAACCTTTGGGTGGGAGGGCATGCCTCTGAGGGCCCTGTCCCTCTCCCACGGAAAAAGCCTGTCACAGTTGCCTCTTTATAGACAGGGCAGCCTGGCCTCACAGGCCGGGAGATTCCCTTCCTCCCAGAGCCCCGCATGCAGAGTGGGGGAGGGGAAGATGGCCTTGGCAGTGGGAAAGCCTGGAGCCTCTCCCAAAGCTGGACTCTGGGCTCTGTGGATTCTGTGCCTTCTCACTGTGAAAGGTCCTTGTCTTTTATCGGTGACACTTGCTCTCCTGCTGCAGCTCCCGCTCCCAGTGCCTTCTCTCATGGCTTCACCCCATGGGCTGTGGAGGAGAGAGACACGCAATCCCAGTCACCCCTGCCTCCCTTTCTGGAAGGCTTCCAGAATACTCTATACCCAGCCACCCACCTCCTCTTCTTCCTCCCCCAGTGACTGGAGGTGTTAATGTCCTAGTAACAAAACTCCCAGCCAAGACATCCACACCCGGAGATAACAAGCACCTTGTCATTAACAGAGGTGCTTGGTGCTAGCGCTGCAATTAGCTGGTGTTCCCTGCTCTGAGGTGGGGGAGGTGACTCCTACCTGACCTGGTTGCTGCTTTCGCAGCTTTCTCTGGCACCCGGGAGGTGTGACTACAAGGCTGGAAGACTCTTGGCTTGTCAGGTGTGGGCCTCGAAACACCGTCTCACAATCACTGGTGGAGTCACTCGTGGAGTCAGCTGAAAGGGAGACTCACAGGCCCCTCCCGGCCACCACAGTCGGCATCTCTCGGCGCGGGGCCTGGGAATCAGCATGTCAGACACATTCCTGGGGTTTCTGTGGTGCTCTCTGAAGTCTGGAGGCACCACCCAGAAGTCTGAGGAAGCTTCACCCGCCCCTAAGTCCGAGAGCACCGGAACTGGCCGTGTCCCAGAACCCCAGGGGAACTCCGAACCGCGCTCAGAACCAGTGCAAAACCGTCCCAGCCTCCAGAAGAGTTTTGGGAAAGATGGTGTTTAGAGCCACACCTTGTATTTTGTGTCCAAACTAGTGTTCCTGTGTGTAGCTTGTCACTTGCTTCCCAGATTAGCACCAAATGACTCCTGGCTGTTTCTAAAGGTCAGACCATCTTGCAAAGAGCCGAAGCTTTGCTTCCCTGGAGGGATGTGCAGCAGACTTGAGCTTTTACCAGCCAGAGCAATTCAAAGACAAGTGTCTGGTCTCCTCCAGGTGTCTGCTGTGGACAGATGCCATCTGTCCTTAGTCCTGCCAAGAGGCAAGATGGTGAGGTGGGAGGAGGCAGCGAGGGCCCGAATCCAGCTTCTGTCCTTCCGTGGCTGGGCGGGATGCTTTGAGCCTCAGTTTTCTCGCCTGTAGAAATGGGGTCAGTAGCCTCTACCTTGAAAAGTGATTGCAAGGAAAACGTCAAGCACTTGGCATATGATACTGTTGTCAATATTACTAATATTTTAAAGGCCAGCCTGATTGCTTTCCATACTGAGGCCAAAGAAGGGGCATGAAGTGAAGTTTGGTTGAAAAGTTTGGGTATTTGTCTAGTACTGAGAATGTGTGGGAAGTTGTTTTTTGTTTGTTTGTTTGTTTTATGAGACAGAGTCTCACTCTGTTTCCCATGCTAGAGTGCAGTGGCATCAGCCTAGCTCACAGCAACCTCAAACTCCTGGGCTCAAGTGATCCTCCTGCCTCAGCCTCCCAAGTAGCTGGGACTACAGGCATGCGCCACCATGCCTGGCTAATATTTTTAAATATATTTTTAGTTGTCCAATTAATTTCTTTCTATTTTTAGTAGAAACAGGTCTCACTCTTGATCAGGCTGGTATAAGCTTTGAAGATATCTTTGCTACAGGCAGAAATCCTTTGCATCTCTGTCAGCCAGAAATAACTGGCATTTTATATTCTATAATTAGCTTCAGTCTTTTAGAGTCTGGGCCTAATCAATAGTAAATAGTCAAAGTTTCATCCCCAGAGTCAAGTGGCCTGGACAATCCTCTAGTTTAATTTTGAAAGCATGTACTTTTCTTTATAGTTTTATTATATAACTATGCATTTCTAAACACTATAATTTTGTTTTTCCTAATTTTGAACACCTTGTATACAATTTTTTTGTGTGTGTCTTACTGCTTTTGTACACCATTGTGTTTAAAGTTTCATCTATATTTGCATGTTGCAGTAGTGCATTCTTTTTCGTTGCTGTATAGTATTCCACTGCCTGATTATGCCACATTTTATTGATTCTGTTGTTGGTGACCATTTAAATTGTTTCCAAGTGCTGTAGACATCCTTGTACATATTTCCTGGTGCTTATTCAGAGTGGAATTGCTAGATTTTAGAGTGTACATTCCTTCAGCTTTACCAGATAATGCTGAACTGTTTTCCAAGTGGCTGCGCTGATTTACCCTCTCTCTGGCAGTCCTGAGTTTCCATCACTCACATCCTCGGATGTGTTCATTTTCTCCACTTTGACCACGTGTAGTGGTCTCTCATTGTGGTTGTAACTTGCATTTCTCTGACTAATGAAGTTGAGCACAAATTTATATGTCTTAAAAACAAACCATTGTGAGCTCTAATCGGGAGCATTATTGCAATGGTAGTTGAGAGCTGAGCGCTAATGTTAGAACTAGATTCTGACTTAATCCACCCCTTGCCTACCTCTTGAGCCTTGGTTTCCTGGCCTGTAAAGTGGGCATGATAATGGTAAATTGTTCTTGGGCTGGCTGCGGAAAGGAAATGAATAATGCATATAAGGACACAAAATGGGACCTCAACAAATGGGAGCCATTGTTATTAAAAAAAAAAAAAAGTGAATAGCCACTGGACTCCAGCCTGGGTGCCAGAGCAAGACCCTGTCTCAAAAAAAAAGCCCCTGGCTAGTGAGTTGATTATTCCATTCAAAGCCTGATGCCCCTTCGCCAGCCATGATGTATGATCACAGGAGCAACATGTGGGGAGTCCGACTTTTGTTTTCCACCACAGTCGGGAGAGCAGGGGATTCAGAAAACGGAACCTCAGCTAGCAGAGCTTTGCACATTCGCACTCATCCTGGAGTCCTGGTTAGCAGGGCCTGGCGAGTGGCGAGGGCCCGTAGGCCTGCGCCCTTGGAACCACGCGTGCCCAGGCCTGGAGGGTGCAGCTACAGTGTGGACTTCTTCCACGGAGGCCCAGGACAGTTCCCAAGCCAGGGCTCTGCTGACGCGTGTGGGCGTGTGACAGCCCTCATTTGGGCTCTTACAAGATTAGAGCTTTGCTGACCTTGGAGCAGGGATCAGCCAGGCCCTTGGAGTCTGGGGGATGTTTCTGTGCCTTTTGAATGTGCTAATAGTTACCCTTCATGTGCCTGTTTGCTTAACAAACCATGTGGTGGCTGGCAGAGCAACAGTTTCCTCATTTGCTGGGGAGAGGAGGGGGAGGATCATTTGCTGGGGAGAGGAGGGAGAGGAAGTTGAGGGTATGGAAATTTTATCCAGGGGGGCCCAGGCAGCGGCTCCTGAGTTTGCACAAATGGTGTCCCTCTCCAACTTAGGATGACATTGTGGTTCTCATTCTTTTTGAGAGTGAAAGGGGGTGCTGTTAATTCCTGAGCAGCAGACGTGAACTGGGACTAGGGGCAGACGTGGGTGTGTGGTCACCCTACCTCGTGCCTGTTCTCAGGAAAGGGCCTGTTGGGCTGTGAC